ATAATAAATATTATTCAAATTAGTTATAATCTCAGGACGTAGGTTCTGTACAGCTGGAAAACATAGTGTTGGCTGGAGTTTTAATTGTCATGCTTGTCTTTGAACTGTCTCTTTTTTTTCAACGTGCAACTGACTATTTTTTTAAAAAATTATACCGTTTGGTTTTACTTTTTTTACTTCAGTGATGAGATTACACCAAATACCTTACAAATTTACGATGGATTATCACTGACGTAAGTGATAAACATTTTTCAATGTTTATATATATATATATATATATATATATATATATATATATACTTGATTGTCGTGTAGTTATTCGTTATTAACAGTGTCTAACATTCTTGTTTTCATTTTACAAAGTTACTATTAAAAATTCAAGTGCTGGCTAGTAATTTCTCTTAGAAATAACTGTTGCTCATTTAATGTGATCACTTAGAAACTTAGTTTAGACTGATTTTGTTTTTTTTTCAGAAGAATTGATTAATATCATATATGTGTGTGTACATTATACTTTTAGTTATTGATAAATGCATTTTATATGACAAACTGGCTTCATCTAAACTCCTATAAAAATCTAGGGGGTGTCAGATAGCTTCTTCACCCTAATGGTAAAGTGGCTTCTTCGCAGTGCATACTAAAAGCTAAACCAGAAATAAATCTTTGGATCCTTAAGTCACTGACAAGTGAACTGAGTTATGTTGGCAGATGTAGGCTACCTGATTGGGGTCCGCAAGATGATAGTAGCCGATGGTTAGAGACCTTAAAACACATGGCTCAAAATCGTTTGCAGTGGTGCAGGTGCATCCACTCTTTGTGTTTTATCAAATTCTAAGCTTCTGCATTCCTTATAATCTCTACCTTTCTCCTTCTAAATTTATCTTACTGAATTATACTTCTCGAATCAAATCTTCGCTCCCTAATCTTCTCCATTACTGCTAATACTTCTACTACCTCTACTACTATGGGATTCGCATTGATAATTGCGTCTCTGTGCTAATGTGGTATAGCAATTTGAACCGTTGTACATATGTACGAAGTTCTACGTTGTAACTAAATGACTGACATCATACCTAGTTACAAGATTCATGACGAATAGCTGAGAACCAGATTATAGGTCAGAAAATGATTTTTGTTTGACACAAATGCTAACAGTTCATTCATAGAATGAATTCCACAGTGAAATCATAACTATCATATAAAGATAAAGATTTATGTTAAAAACTATAGTGTCCTGTTTGTCTTTACTCATTAACTGGCCACAGCTTAGTATCACACACGATACATCAGAGCTTGTTGATTTAATGGTAAAAAAACGTTTTCAGCTAGTAATAGGTCACAAGTCACCGCGTACTTTTTGAAGGTTTGTAGAATACGGGTTCTACTTCATATCAAGTCTTCTTCATTTACTCAATAAGTGTTTGGGACACTTGGATTAGAGTAGTGTGTCGTGTCGCCGGATCATCGATCCTCGCTCGGATTAGAGTAGCATGTCATGTCGCCAGACCATCGATCCTCGCTCTCGTTTTCCGACTAAGGTGAACTCGTAATAGTTCAAGCATATCAAATGACATGTTGATGTGCATTCGTAACGAAGCATGTATATATAACAAAATCGTACCAAAATTCAAGCTTCAGTACTCACTATTTATTGTTCGAAATCTTGTTGAATTTAACTACCACTCCACAATTAGGTTTCATTCCTAATTCACTTCACAGAAATAACTTCTATCAAATTCTTAGTTACGTTATGAACTTAACTGTTACTTGATTGGTTGTTCTCACTTTTGGTTTGTTAATTTGACCAGGTCTTTTAAAGTTATGCTTTTTTCGTGTAACCAAGTTTGACTTGTTGAATATCAAGTTTTTCCTTAACTCTTACCTTGTACTATGTATATAATTGTTGAAGTGTTGTGTATAAGTCATGTGATCTGCCGATCTCGCATATATACAGTTCCATATTCAGTCAGTCAACAACAACACAGAACTTCATACGTATGGACATCAGTTCAAGTTGCCACACCACACTAGCACAGGGATGCAATTGTCAGTTCAAATCACTTGGTAGTTGAGGTAGTAGAGGTAATGCAAAAATTAGGGATCGAAGATATTATCTAAGAAGTATAATCCAGTGAGATAAATTTAGAAAGAGGAGGATAGAGGTGTTGACAAATACAGAAGATCAGAATTTAAGAGAACACAAAGAGTGGATGCACCTGCGCCATTGCAAACGATTCTGAGCCATGTCGTTCAAGGTCTCTAACCATCGGTGACTTCCGTCTCGCGGACCCCAACCAGGTAGCCTACCTCTGCCAACATGACTCAGTCCACTTGTTAGTGAATGCATGGATTTCTGCCATGTTTTGGTTTTGTCGCCCCTAGCTTTCTTCCAACCTACTCCTACACCACAAAACATAGCTCGTCGCGGCAGTCGGTGGTTAGGCATACGTAACACATGTCCCAACCACCTCAACTGATGAAGTTTCACTACTTCATCTATTGATTTGCCATCCCTACCTAGTACTCGTTTCCTAACTATAGCATTGCTTACTCAAGTTTCCCATGTTCCATTTTAGGAGAATACCCCCAGTCGTTCTTAATTAGACATCATCTTAGCTAGTCACCATGAATTTACTATTCGTTCAGTCATAAAACTAACCCGTTGTTTTTTAATTTTTCAAATGGACAATTAAGTTTCCTTAAATTATCTAAACTTCATAAGCTTTGATTATTGCACAATATCGTTATTAAGAATTTCCAAACACAATTTAAATGACGCTAAATTATTGTTTCAAAATAACTGATTAATTACCTGTTATACTCGTCAGATTGATATGCTTGAAACTATTACTAGTTCAGGAGAACGATACAATGAACCAGTAACACGATAGGTTACTCTTATCTGCTTCCCTAACTAAATGGAGAAAAAGTTTTGATATGGCGTAGATATTGTATTTTACAAGCACCCAGAAAATATAGTAATCTCAAGCGCACAAATCACGTTTATTTATACATCATAGAAACGTCGTTGGGAGAGTCACAAAAGTAGCGTACTAAAATAACACATCAACCAATGACAGTCAAGGATTTTCCGAGTGGGAAATGAAATCTCAAGGTCAACTGATCAGCCCATGAATAAAATTCAAAATTAAGTGAGTTCTGGGGATCTAACTTCCCCAACACTACCACTGTACTTAGATTATTTACACAAGTATAAAATAAATCTTAACCAAACAGATACATTGGTGTGTTGTAGCATAAGTTGCTTAAGTTAGAATTTTATTTAAACTTTATGTTTCTTTCTCATCCCCCACCTCCAAACAATAAAAACTTGTAAATATTCTATTTATTATGTAATGCTTAAAATCATCATATATTTCATATTTTCTTTAGTCTACGCGCAAAACATGTCAATATAGGCGTACTGGATCCGAAACAATCAACGCGTACAGCAAAACGTTTCAATGTTAGCGCAGCATCAGTTTCAACTCAGAATAATCCTCAAATTTCAGCTATTTTGTAAGTAGTATTTGTTAAAACATTTTATTTGCTTTAAGAAGACTTTTGATGTATATATATATATATATATATATATATAAACACACGTACGTACACAACAAATTAGCTTGTCAGTACACTTTTGAATTTAATTAATGTACTCTTTTATTATTCTACAAGTATGTCAATGCAAAATGATAATTGTTAACGGTACTAAATAGGGTTGTTTACATTTGTAATTAGGTCAATGTGTTTACTACTACTAATGATGATGACAAAATAAATCAATATTATGTATATGAATAGAATAAAATATTTTCGTGCATTTTAATTATCTCATAGAATTTGTATTCAATTAAGACATCCATTGTGTTTAAAACAATTGTAATCAGTCAGCATAGTTTTGATCCAAACTATCCTTTACACAAGATTAAACCCTCTTGATCTGCATTTTTTTTTTCTGGTGCAACAATCTTGATGAGGTAACTCGTCGTTTTTGATATGACTTCAACCTGTAAATATCGTTACACCGATTGCCTATTCGCAGTAAACGGACATTGATTAGACAATATGACTCCGTTCTGCACCCCCCCTGGTTTATTCAGATAGAATAGAACATAAAAATAGTCAGTCGACATATTTTTTGGCTTAAAACCTCATATGATAATGATATGAATCAATTAAAAGACCGCACCATATCATAAATTGGGAATCACAATCAGGACATAATTGATAACTACCTGGTGTGATGGTAACAATTAGACAGATTAATCCTCGATTGGCAAGGGTAATTTTACATTGGTTCTCAAGAGAACCAGGGAGACTGTCCACGTATTAACACTAAAACGTGAAAAGTTCGGCTTAATCCCGTGGAGTAACTACACAGTTACCTGACACCCTGGTGCACCATTCACGTCATTTATATACACTAGTACAACATACATAATGATTATTTCTGATCCATGATCGCGTCAATCATTATGCATAGCATGAACAGGCCAATTCGACCCATCCTGCTTACATGACTATCAAACTCTTTATTATTAGCAATGGCGATACGTAACAAGGCACCCCAATGACAATGGCCCTCGGGAATGTTGCAAGACAAACACCAGTTGTATCAATGAAATCGGTCACCCTGCTAACCAATTCTGTATATGAACTGTCACCAGTACTTTCCAAAGCAATGCCAAGCCATCCGCACTGTCTCATAGGAAACCTTCAGCTCTGTATAGCAGTTTAGCATATGGTATACACATGGTATGTATGGCATAGGATAGCAAGAGATGCAGTCCAGCTTGATGCAAAGAGGCTCAAACACTCTTATTACCTTTCGTCTCATGTCGGATGATGATTTTTTCGTAATACAGAAATTTTCGTCTTTCAACCATAAAAAATAAATAAATTTCTTAGGCCATTTTAGGGTCATTGTTATCAAATCGCAATGCTGAAAAGCATGTATATTAGTCTAGTCCAAGTGTTAATTAGTTTGCCTGAATTTTCTGTATAGTATTAAAACTACCTTCTAACTAATAACACAATGATAATGAGAAAACACCCAAGATCAATACTTAACAACTGTTGGTCCAGAGTACAGCTCTACCACACTAGCCTGATACTCAGAATAGAACACAATAGGTAGAAAACTTCTAAGTAACTGTATGGTCCAAATTTATAGAATAATCTAATGTAAAATCCTGACTACATATCAATATAATTAGGATACTACAATATGAACTTACTACATGTAACATGTAACAACAGTTTATGCTTCAAGAGAAAGCTTACAAGCAGGAGAATTTTTAAAAAAAAATGCAATAATTTAGGTATTTAATAACTATACACGAAAACATAAGCAATAACTTCAGGTTTGACTTAGTTAGTAGGACATAGATTGTTTAAAGCATGATTGCGTTGTTGCACGCTGATTGGCTCTTTCTTATCCAATCAGCGCTAGCCGACACTGAGGGAACATTCTTGAATCTTCTCATATAAGGAAACTATAAATATACTAACGTCTTTTTACTTTGGACTTCTTTGAGTTCCATCTAACCTTTTTATTGGAATATAATCATCCATTTCCTGTTCAACCGTGTTCTGATTCGTGAGAACGTCTCGAATGAATTGGTGTCCGAGAATACTGGTTTGTAATAAAGAGAAAATTATAACATTTCGTATTCATCTTGTTACGGTGTTACTCATGTAATACTTTTCAAATTTGTGCTATTTATATCAATTTTATTCTGTCTATAATTTTTTGACTAGATGAGGCCTCGGATGTAAATCTTCTCTCATGATATATAGATGTATGCTTAGAAAACTTTGAAATCAGTCATCATTAGAAACTTTTAGTGAGAGTTTTATGATGAAAGTTGGTTGATTGGTTGATTGATTCATTTTTGTACTCATCATCAGTCCATCACATGCAAAATTGATAGTTACTTAGTCAACTTTCTCTTCACTATCCTGAAATATTAAAGCCATCAAGAACTGTACAGATAAACCATGAATTATTACTATTTATATTACTTTTGTTAGGTTGACATTCTCTAAACTAAAAAGGTGGTTTAAATGTGAAGCTTTCATTGCCGTTCCAAACACATCACAAATCTCAGATATGAGGAAACTAACTAATTAGACTGACTAAAAAAAATTGCAAACAACCGTAAAATCATTGAAGAGAGATAATTAAAATAAACCTGCAGACAGTCACAGTACGAGTTTTAACTTCGAAAATCAGATTTAAAGTTGATAGAGCAAACCGAAAATCACTTGTGAAGAAACTGCAACATATCACTTTTATATGGTATAGTGCTGAGAATGTTGTATCTAGGTAAACAGTGAAAACTTCACAATTAGACTACTCATCTCAGAGAATCTATTGTCACTGAAAATCATCTCATCTATTGCCATCTCTTTAATATTCATTAAAATGAAGGCGTAACCGAATCATATATATATATATATATATATATATATATATATATATATATATATATATATCAGTCAGTTACAACCTAGAACTCCGTACATGATTATACTTTCTGAATAAGATCTTCGAACCCTAATCTCTCGAATTACTGCTGCTAATACTTCTAATATCTCTACTACTATGGGATTTGAATTGACAATTGCGTCTCTACGCTAATGTGATATGCCAACATGAACTGATGTATGCACGTACGAAGTTCTACGTTGTAAATGACTGACTGACATGAGGACATAAGTTCAGGTTGCCATACCATATCAGCACAGAGACGCAATTTTCAATCCAAACCCCATGGTGGTAGAGATAGTAGAAGTATTAGCAGTAATGGAGAAGATTAGGGTTCGAAGATATGATTCAAGAAGTATAATTCAGTGAGATAACTTTAGAAAGAGAAAGATAGAGATGATGAGGAATTCAGAAGATTAGAATTTCATAGAACACAACGATTAGATGCACCTGAGCCATTGCAAACGATTTTGAGCTATGTCGGTTGGATTATCACGATAGGCAAGTCCGACCACCGTATCAAAGTATATATATAATGGATAACAATTGTAACATTGAATTTGTAAACTTTTTTTTCAAACTTTCTTCAGATTAAAACAATCCATCATGTATCAATTTGCAAAAAATTTAAATCGAGCAGATTATGAACAAATTGTTCAATTTGCACTTACAGATTATTCAAATCATGTGAAAGGTTACATTCCACGTCCACGTATGATATTGTAAGTATGAGTGTGTGTGTGTGTGTGTGTGTGTGTTAGAAAGTTGTTTGTCTTTTTTTTTTATAGAAAAGTACATAACATTAATAAGTATGATATGATGATAACCATCTAACTAAACAATCGTAATAAAGTTATGAGTTATTTATTGCATGGAATTTTATCAACTACTCATAAACTATGAACAATAATAATAATAATAATGTTCATCATTGATGCTAATTATCAATTAACTGTATGAGTATTTTAGAAAAGGAGGTTTAGAAGATTTACAACGGGTGTCATTTCCGGACAGCTGAAATCAGAAAGATTTAACTACTTAAAGCTTCTAAATTGGTTAGAGATACTTTATATGATTGAAACTTGAAAATTGTTTACTTGGAATTGGACGCGTGAAAATACATTTTTTTCTCTATAGTTTTATTCGTTTGTTGTTAAACTTCTTTTTTGACAATAAAAGTAGTTGAAGCAAGGCGTGAAAATATCGCTTTACTTTTCCCAAGATTGTAGGATGATGTAACTCAGTTATAACGTAGAACTTCGTACAGGTTGCCATACCGTATCATCGCAGAGACGCAGCTATCAGTTCAAATCCCATAGTGGTAGCGATAGTAGAAGTATTAGCAATAATGGAAATTACTTTAGAAGGAGAAAGATAGAGGTGATGAGAAATTCAGAATGTTAGAATCTGAGAGAAGTCAAAGAATAGATGCACCTGCGTCATTGCAAACGATTTTGAGCCAATGTCATTCAAGGTCTGTAACCATCGGTTACTATAATCACGCAGACCCCAACCAGGTAGCTTGTATCTACCAACATGACTCAGTCCACTTGTTAGTGATTTGTGCCATGTTTTAATTTGACAGCCGGATGATGTAACTAGGAGTAATAATCTCGCAAGTTCCTATTATCTAACACTAATTACACAAGCACTTACATTTACCCATAACTATAGTCAATGTAAGCTACCCTACCGTCCATTTATCATGATAATCAGCAATCGAATCACAGCGTGTCTACTGTTATCTGAATTTCTAAATGTTTTCGTCTTACTGAACATTACTTGAATAAGCTGTTTGTGTGGATTTTTTTTTCCTGAAACCATTTACTATTTGAAGACAGTTGTCATTTATATCTCAAATGTAAACATTAACACTAAGATGCAAGTATGTTCAGCTGATGAGTCTTAAACGGGATGAAATGCGCATCTTGGAGTTCACTGCTAGCCACAATATATCCATCTATATTTGTTCATTTTAATCAATTGTTCCTCTTTGTACAAAGTATCATATATTCTGGAATATATCTTGTGTTCTTAATTTAAATCATAATATCTCTTTCAGTGATGAAATGGTCGATACTCTTGTTGAGTTTGCTATAGTAAGTAATATATATCGAATATTTTTATATGTTGGTAATTTTATAATATTTAAAAAATTCTCATTGTCAATTTATGAGTCTACGTGAGTCATTACATAACAACAATCATCGAAAGCCAGATAGCACTTTACAGTTGTTTTATTTTATTGTAGAGCTCATAAGCAGTAAGGATGTACACTATCCCATTTGGGTGTGAACTTAGGCTTAATGGCCATTGCATAAACTTCAGTTTATTAAGTTGGCATTCCTGTCTGGGTACAACATTGCCTTTCAGTCAGTCATTCAGTTACAATCTAGAACTTCGTACGTATATACATCAGTTCATGTTGCCATAGCACATTAGCACAGAGACGCAATTGTCAATTCAAATCCCATAGTGGTAGAGATAGTAGAAGAATTACTACTAATGGAGAAGATTAGGATTTGAAGATAATATTCAAGAAGTATAATTCAGTGAGATAAGTTTAGAAAGACAAAGGTAGAGGTGTTGACTAATCCAGAAAATTAGGATTTGGGAGAGCTCAAAGAATGGATGCACCTGCGCCATTGCAAACGATTTTGAACTATGTCGTTCAAGGTCTCTAACCATTGGTGACTTTGGTCCCGCGGACCCCAACCATGTAGCCTACATCTACCAACATGACTCAGTCCACTTGTCAGTGACTTAATGGATTTCTGCCATGTTTTGGTTTGGCCGCCCCTAGTTTTCTTCCAACCTACTCCTACACCACAAAACATGGCTCGTCGAGGCAGTCGGTAGTTGGGCATTCGTAATACATGTCCCAACCGCCTCAACTGATGAAGTTTCAATGCTTCATCTATTGACCTGCCATCCTTACCTAGTACTCGCTTCCTATTGGCAGCATTGCTTACTCAGGTGTCCCACGATAAACGAGCAAGGCTTTGAAAACAT